TCATCAATGTAAGCAAAACTTAACATACATTTCAACTGCAAAATTTTCTACTTTCTTAACATGTCTTACTACATATTTTTATAACATATTCAAACATATATATAACTTACAGACTCCACTACAAAACCAAGATCAAGCACTGAGAGAAAAAATGATGGACAGCCATTTCCCAGAAGTAATGAAAAACAGATATATCCATTTCCCAATCAACCACGACAACCATTGGACAATTGTGGTCTTTGACAATGCTGATGGGATATGGAGACACTATGACTCTTTGAGACCAGTAAAAGATTGCCACAATAAGCACTTTGAAATTGCAAAGGAAATTGTAAGTTAAATAAAATTTCTTACTTAGTCCCATTCCTTTAAAAACATCTCAACTCATCACTATAACTAACAAAAACACCCACTAACTATTTTGTAGCAACAACATCAACTCAGATGGAATAAAGCATTACTCAGCAATCAAGGAAACATGTTATCATCTCAAGAGTGCGAGACAGTAATTGCATCAATTGAGGAATGCCCACAACAAACCCCACACTCGTAAGATACAAAATCAATAAACTAATCTTCCAATATGCTAAATTTTGCATTTTTACCTAACTAATTAACTTCATCTAAAACTTTGCAGGAATGATTGTGCAATCGCCGTCTGCAATATTATCAACCAATATATCAATTGGCAACCTGTGCAGAAATCACTTCGACCAACTGAGTGGGTCAAATTTCGAGCAGAAATCGTCAGTCAATTCCTCAATGATGAAATCCGATCTTGGCAACTCGAGCACTACCAAATGTTGACAAAGCATACCAAACCATAGAAACAATGAACAAACTTCTTGACAATACAAATATTCAAGTGAACATATCTTTGTACTTTTCTTCTTTTTTTTTTTAATTTTTTTTTAACATGTGACAAGTACTTTATATACTTTTGGGAATGATTTTCTTCTGATTATTATGGTAAAAATGATTGTTGTCATTGATGTTGTTATTGCTCTTCTTCTTGTTATTAGTATTGTGCTTGTACTTCTGATTGTTTGTGTACTTGTTTGTGGTTACATATATTTTCATACAGTAAAGGTTGTTTCTAATAATTCTTCAAACTGTAAAATTATGTAGTTTCATCAAGTTGTTTCTAATAATTCTTAAAACTGCAAAATTATGCAGTTTCATCAGGTTGTTTCTTATAATTCTTCAAACTGCAAAATTATACAGTTTCATTACTCAAACAAAATTTATGCTACACAATTATGCATTCAATTTCATGACTTAACAAATAGATGAACTACATTTCAAAATTGAAAATAAAACTGTAAAATTTTACGGTTTTCTCGCTATAAAATATGAAATAAATGAATCATGTAGTAAAACTGCATTTCAATATTATACAGTTTCAATAAGAAAATTTCCACAACCTTCCGTACATTTCATAAAAATAAAACCAACCAAACCCACCAAAAAAAAATAACAATAAAAAACAAAACAAAACTGTTACAAAACAACTTCAATAACTAAAAAACACATCAAAAAACAAAAAACAATTTTATTCATTACTTCCATAATACTAAGTATCACATTTTTTATTATCATAATGCCTCAAATTCAAATACAAATCCAAAAGAATAGACTGTGGCCTCAAATAGTAGCCTTGCACGTCTTCTTATTGTGATTCCCATATTTCAAGCACCTCCCACACTTGATTTGCTTCACATTCTCACCCCTAGAAGGTATCCTCTTCTTCTTGTTCCGCCCGGGCTGCTTCTTCGTTATAGGAAGTTTGATAATCGAACTACTTGCACCATCAAAGTCAAATCTCTCACTTGAAGTCACTGGATAAACAGATTCCTTGTATGACTCTCTAAAACAATCTACATGAAAAAAAGGATCAATGAAATCATACACATCTCTACCACTACTACGCAAAGCATGCACAGCATGACAACAAGGAAAACAATTCAATTGCCATTCATGGCAAGAACAAGTCTGTCTACCAATATCAACATAAAAAGAAATGGAAGAATGAACCCGAAGCACAGTATCACTAGCAACAATCACATCCCAAGACTTAGCTAGCTCCAAAGAGTCCACCAACTTCTTTTCCATAACAGGACACAATTTCGAAGTCCATCTTTTAGATTCAGCTCTTCTATTCGACAATTGAGTCATGATTTGAACCCTAACCATATCAACCATACAAGTAATAGGCAACTCACGGGCCCCACTAATCCAATTATTGTAAGACTCGGCAGTATTAGATGACATCTCACCATATCGTTTCCCTCTAAAAATTGCATTCGCCCACTTATCATTTTGCAAGCTATCCAACATACTATCAACTCTACCATTCCCAGCAATATGCCTCAATTTCTCCATATAATGTTAAAAAGAAGCAATCGTTGGCGCATAAGCACATTTAACTAATATTTTCATCAAACTCAGCTTATAGTTAGTACGACGTCCCACCAATTTGTCAATCAAATTTTTCTTCAAATGATTCAAGCAATATGCATGATGTGCATTGGAAAAAACCACTAAAAGAGCGTCTAGCAATCCATGTTAACGGTCCGACACAAAGGTCAATCTCCGGCTTGAACCAACACCCTTTAACAACTGACTTAAGAACCACATCCAATTATCTTGATTTTCAGCGTCAACAATCTTTGATGAGTTGTTTCAACATGTTTAGATAAGTAGAGGAATTGGGGATGGTAGTGTCTGGGATGCGAAAATGGTTTATTAGGACGATGAGAGGAAGTTTTTGAGATAGATTTAGAAGGAAGTGGATATACAGTTAAAGCCATTGCGTCGTAGAGCACGAGAGGCATTAAATGAAAAGTGTTATGGAATGATGGTTTGGTTCAATGTGATTGAATTAGGTTTTGAATAGATTGATGTAGAGATTTCCATTGTAGCAGGGACGATAGACATGGTGAAGTAGAATGGGCAGTGCCACCAGTGTGAACATAAAGTTGCCATTGCTGTTACAGTGAAGTTTTGAGAAAGCAGAGTAGAGAACAGAGCAGAAATTTCTCTGTGATCATACCAGATAAACTTCCCTTCACTCTGAATTTTCTCTGTGAAAAGTTGAAATTTCTCTATAAAACAACCCACCTCTTGCCTTATCAACTCCTAACCATGCAACCCGATAAGAAACATCTATACCATATTGCTTCTTCAACTTTTTTTTTAAACTTCAATAGAACGAGTCAACGGATTATCACTAATATCATTTTGCACAATATTAGACACAAGTCTAGAAGATCTACGAGCCACAACCCCACAAGTATGCACATTATCCAACTTCATTATAAAAAAAATACCGGAATTCATCAACACCCTTCCATGCACAAACCATTTACAACCCGTAGACGACTTCATCATACATTCAGCAGTTACTCTTGTTGCATCGTTCTTCAAATAATTCACTGCAAAACCACACTCAACTGCATACTTAGCCAATGCAATGCGGAACGCTGGCACTCCACCTTCAAATTCTTGACCAACACTATGTATAATCCCCTTCCAACTAGCAGGCAACAAAACTCTCTCTGGTTCTGGATAAAAACTAGGCAACAAATCACCAAAATCATCACAATCATTAACCAAAGAACTCTCACCAATTACAGAATCAATCCTACAAGAATTACCATCATCAACCTCCACAATTCTCTTATCACCCACAACAACATCAACAACATGAAAACCACTACCACCTACCATTGACAGCATATTCCACAAATCATTATCACATTCAACAATACAATTAGAATATCCAGCAATAGAGAAAAACAAACAAAAGTGACCAACACTCAACTCCTTGAACTTCGCACATATTTTCTCAACAGCTTCATCATAACTACATCCCTTACTAATCTTAATAGCAGCAATTACTATATTTGCACATTAACATGAAACACCCTCCATACTACAAAATCACAAACCAACAAACAATTGTTCACAGATTCCAAACTGCAAAATTATACAGTTACAACATATCAGTACCAACACTGCACAATTCACAATTCCAAACTGCAAAATTATACACTTACAACGTATCAGTATCAAAACACCAGAATTTACAATTCCAAACTACAACTTCAAAACACATTACACTATACAACTAACAAAATCAACAAAATCAAAATCATTACACTATATCACATATAAAATCAAATAAAATAAATATCAAACAAACAAAATTTATCACAAAACAAATAACTAAAACAACATTACCAAACACAAACTAGATATCACGCAAATTTGCTTATCTATATATACATACATATATGTATACACACATAGAGATATATATATATATGTATATGTATGTATCAACAGATACATACATATACATACATATATGTATCGACAGATACAAACCAGATACACAAAGAGAGAGAAAGAGAGAGAGAGAGAGAGAGAGAGAGAGAGAGAGAGAGAGAGAGAGAACGCACGTAGAGATCGCCTGTACACAGAGATTCAGATCGCACAACTAGATCCATCTCATAGCACAATGAGATCCACCACACAACACAATGAGATCGCCATAACGAAGAGAAATCGAGATCGCAGAGACTAAGATTTTATTTTCTTTTTTGAACGGAGCAAAAATTTGATTTTTCACGTATATATAGATTTCAAAACAAATGGTAATACAGTTATTTACAAAATACGAAAATAAAAAACGGGACCTCTGGGTATAAAATTTAAAAACTGTGGGCCTATTAATCTATTAAAAATATATTGAGATTAGAAGGGAAATAGATCCCCTACATAAGACTACATAGTAATTTTCCCATCTTTAAATAAAAAATAAACCTCAAAAAAGTCAATGTAATTTTAGAAAAAAAAAATGTTATAAGCCTTAAATTTTCTACCAAATAAATGACAATAAAACATTTAATCATTTATTTAATAAAAACTTAATATCTCTGACATTACTCTTACCCGTTATGTTATAATCTGCAAAATCTCTCAGAAGACTTTAAAGTTTGAAAAATGGAGAAGATGAAGAGAGATGGATTTGAGACAAGTAGAGGCAATAGTGAAGGAATCAAAAGGTGGAATCATAAAAAAGAAAGAAACCCTAACTTGCAACGATTTATTAGATGGAGGAGGAAAAGGAGGAAACAAGAAGAAGCCAAATGCAAATGCAGTGGATTCATCTAATGCCCTCCAACTCTTCCTTGATCACATCCCCATCAGCTCCATCCCCGGCATCAACAACTCATCCACCGGTATGTATAATGTATGACCCACTTTTGTATAATACTTTTAAATCTCAACGTTTAGGCTGTGGTTATAAATTTGGAAATGGAAAATGTGTAAAAATTAGGTGAAATTATATTTCACATACTTTTTTCTTTTCTTTTTAAATCTCTTCTTAAATTCATGATCAAATAGATTTGGCAAGAGATTTGAAAAGAAAAAATAAAAATTTGTGTGAAATGCCTTTTTAAATCCTTTCTTCCCAAATTCAGGAACAAAACACATCATAAATTTGGATAGAAAATGAATAAAAATTTTAACGTATATATTTCATTCTCTTTGGAAAAAATAGATAATTTTTTTATAAGGATAAAGTAATCGAAAAGAAATAAAAATAATACGAAAAAATAAATCTTTTTATGAGATTACAATGAAACAGAAAATGTGTACACAATCATTACATCATAGGTTTTTATTTGTACCTATCACAGAACAACTTGTACCCTCTATATTTTGGCAATTTTTTTTTATTATCCACTGACAAGTAATTTCCAACTTTTTACGTGATTGTCTCAACGTAATTTACATTCACGGACCGTGATCCAATTTCACTATAATGTAGAGTTTAAATAATTACAAATAACACGAAGAAAGACCTGAAATTGAACAAACTTCTTCGAAGAGAAGATGAAGAAGACACCAAAAAAGTGAACCAAACTGAAGCATAAATAGAGAACCTTCGAAGTAGCAGAAATGTACCAATCAGTCCTTCGAAGCTGCTAGAAAGCATTCCAAATAGTAAGCAAATGTAGCAAAGTTCTAACCCCAAGTCTTAGACTAATAACAGCAGCCAACGTGGATACACAGCACTACTAAAGACAAATCCACAGGGAATCGAAGTATATAGCAGGGGAAATTCTATCATACACAATCCTTTTTGTGTCTTTACCTATTATATTGTTAGTTATGTCATTATTTTGGTTATGATCAGAGTTGATTGGTTATAAGGTATTTTGGTTATAACTTTATTTATTTATTTATTTATTTTTAGTTATAACTCCTACAGGATTGAGTATTGCCATTTGTGATAATCAAACTCACAAATGACATAATTTGCATATAATACACACCATTTTGAGGGTAGTGACTATCATTTTATTGGGTTTATTACCCCTCATATCACTAAATTATCGCTAAATTGTTTATTTAGTTTCTGAATTATTAATTGAGTTTACTAAGTTCCAAAAGTATATAAATCAAAGTTTATGTAGTTCTTAAATTATCGATTAAATCTATTAAGTTCTTAAAATATTTAATTCAAACATATTTAGTCCATGAAAGAACTATAAAATTAAAATATAAGTTCATAAATATTATAAATTAGAAAAAGTTCCTATCTAATTAAAATTTTATTTCAAAAAAACTTAGATTATTATTATTATTTTTTAATTTATTTATTTATTTATTTTTTGGTCTTTGATAAGTGGGCACGTAAATGATGAAAGTCGAGAATTAATGGCAACGAAACTGGTAGGCCATTTAATTTTTTTTTTTTTTTTTGTCTTTGGTAAGTGGGCACGTCGGTTTTTTTTGTGATTTTTTTTTTCTTTTTTATAAGGATAAGGGTAATTATTATAGTATTTTCTTAAATATATTCTAAAATGACTATGTGCTTGCCTTTATCTAATATTATGTCAATCACATTCTGTCAAACTCATTTGAAATCATGTGTGCTTTGTGAAATATCACTAGTTTTTCATATATATATATATATATGCAAAGATATCTCAATAGAATAAGAATGGGAAATGTGACAAGAGTGCTTCTATATATTATCGGGAGAATTTTATCTTTTTTTTTACTGGTCAACGAATGTTTGATTTATTTTTAATACATTTGACTACAATGAAAGTTATTGGCCAGCATAGTGCAAAAATATCAAGATTTAGTTGTTGAATTCATACTCATCCATATGTATTTACTTGTTTCAAATGTTGGGTTCAAATATTATGGATGATTAAGATTTTTTTATTTTTATTTTTTAATTGTTAATACTTATTGCAACTTTTAACTTGTGCAAGTCTTGCAGCTCAAAACCAAGTATTGTTTGGGAGATGCAATTCGTTTATTGTATGAGAAGAATGTGTTTGGTGCTCCCATAGTTGATGACTTACATACAGACATGGATAGGGACCCAGACACCACCAGCCACAAACTTTTGGATCACTATATTGGTTTCGTTGATTTTGCTAGAATGCTTCTTTGGTCTCTTGAGGTAACTTTGTCATGACCTGAATCCGCTCCTATAGATTAAGGTCATAATTGGCTAGTAATCATGAGATTACCTACGGCCTCAAACCTGATCAAGCATGTTTCAATAGAAATAAGGGTCAAAGCGGAAGCAGGTTTAAAAATTTTGTTCAATGAGCTGTGCTTACATGGGAAATAAAAGACATTTCCCATATACTTGATAATAACTCACACCACATACCAACAGTTTACATCTTGTACATCCATGATTATTTGAACATATAGTCAGCTATACCAAAAAGAAAGCTTGTAAACATAAATGGTCTATCATGACCAACTGAAGTAGCAAAAGAAGAAACAAAAGATCATAAACAAAGCCTCATGCGTGAGGCACCTGGGCTGACTCCACAAAACTCGGGTTCCTTTCTTAAACTCCACTAAGGTTGGGGTTGAACGTCCCTTTGCTCTCCTACATACATATAAATAAGAGTGAGCTAACGCCTAGTGAATAATACCAAAGTAAAGGGGTTATATGAATGAGATTCATATTAAATACATCGAACCCGTAAATTTCATATACAAACGGCCTTAGGCGCATTCTGTGTTTTTGTTGTACATGTCAAACAGCCTCGGGCCCCTTTTAGATCCTTAGCAAACATTTTAAACGGCCTTGGGCCCATTGTATAACTTGTCAGATTCATCAAACGGCCTTTGGCTCAATTCAAACATTTCAAATGTGTCAAATGGCCTTAGGCCCAGTATTTTCATATTCATATTTATGCGGATTTCATATTCGTGATCGTGATCACCCTTTTCATTCAAACGGCCTTTGCCCTATTACATTCATATTCAAGTGGCCTTTGGCCCATCATAATATTCAAACGGCCTTTGGCCCATCACGATATTCAAACAGCCTTTGGCCCATCATAATATTCATTGCCTTTGGCCCATCATAATATTCAAACGGTAGAATTCTCATTCGTAATATAAAATCACAAGATCAGAAAACTTATACGTGAGCATTATTTAAAAATAGCATATATGAACATATCTTTACTAAAGTATTACTCACAGTGTTCTGTCGATAGATTTGCCCTTGTGCTTGATCCTACACATTTCATAACACATTGGGTCACAAGCAATTCAATTTGTTCTTAACTTGTTCAATTCTCTTAGGCTTCTTTCTTACTCTTTAATCCATTTATAATGCATAATGCATACCTAAGAGTGCTTAAAAGTAGAAAAGAACGGAAAGTAGAACATGAAATAGCTTTTCAAAATTTTCTAAAACAAGGTTTCTTGCTCGAGCGTAGCTTTGCTCGCTCGAGCAGACTCCTTTGGTCTGTTGAAGTACTAGTTGCCTCATTTTTATGCTTGAGCATAACTCTGCTCGCTCGAACCAAGACCCAAGGATGTGAGTGGTTGCTCAAGCGCAACTCTTTTTGCTCAAGCGGACCTCAATGTCTGCAAAACTTCTGGTTTCCTTCATTCATCGCTCGAGCGAAGAAGTCGATTTCTGGGTTTTCCAACAAGCTATTTGAGCTTCAAAACATGACTCCATATGGTGTAATTTTCATGATATGGCCTATATGGAAACCATACAACCTCTAACATGATATAAATGTCAACTTCACAAGATTTGAAGTTCAAATTCCCGTGAATTCATCACATAAGTTCAATTATATTAAATTTATTTTCATAATTTCAAGACTCATGCAAACAAACCTTATACCTTCTTGGATGTTTCATGCATGTGAAGTGTAGCTTCTATTTTCATCTCAAATTGCATAGTTGATGCTCAAACTCATGAGGTTCAACAAAATTATGCATGCATGTATGATTTGGTGCCGTATTCTTCATGTTCCAAAAGTCATCTTCCAAATACAAACATGAATACTTAGAATCAAGTTTCATACTGTGGTAATTCTTACATGCATGTATTAAATGATTCTCAAATCAACATGAACTATATGTTTCATTCTCAAATATGCAAATTCATGGCAATCTCTTACATTCATGTGCATATTGACTTCAAATTCATCATATTCATCTTAAATCTTGGTCTTAGCTTCATATTATCTTTGAATTCACTTAATTATGAACTTAAACTCATGAATTTGAGTTCAATTACTCACCTAGAAGCTCCAATTTTCCCAAATATAGTTAAGTCTTGAGCTAATCCACTTAGTTCTTGAATTCCTTTGCAAAATCTTCAATGTTGAGCCCTTCCTCTCTCTAAATTCAGCTCACTCTCTCTCTAGAGTGTCTATTTCAAATTTTTGAGCTCACAAGAATGAGTATAAGTGTAATTAGGCTCTTATATATGCTTGCCTCATCAAACTTGATTAAGGCTAAGTAATTGTGCTTAATTTAATCAACTCAATCTAATTATTTTGATCCAAATCAATTTTTAATTAAATTTCACTGTAGGTTCTAAAAATCACACTAAGCACAAAAATACAGTCAATTTCACTTTCTGACTCCTCTACGACCTTCAATTTAAATTCTATGGTAGAAAATCAAACACATTTTCCTACGGTGAACAGATAGGAATTCAAACACACACATAATCATATAAGTAGCACTCAAAATCGTATTAAGCACATAACCACAATCAAAATTAAGATTAATTAACATAACATGAGATAGGGTTATCACAAACTTGGTTCTCACAGACGCAAATTTCGCCAAATAGATGATGTTGATGATCACAATTGATACTTTCATAATTAAATATTGAAAGATGGATTAAGTTCTCTTAAAATTATCTTTTATAGGAATGTGAAAAAATCGGTACTCACACCAAAGACGAGAGCAGCAGTGGAATCTTCTCCATGTTAGAACACAATCCTCACATTGCTCAAACTAAGGTGTATTTTTCCTTCGCTTAGACTTCGTTTGTTAAAGCATCATTTACAAAGTCTACTAAAGAATGAATAACATTCATATGTATATATTAATATACTTGATGAATAGATTGGTGAGCTAGCAAAGTCATTCATTTGGGATCCCTTCTTTCCCGTGCATTTGGATGATACACTATTCCATGTTCTGTTGCTTCTTTCCAAGCACTAGCTACAATCTGTGCCTATTACCGAGCAATGTAGAGCTAAGGTCATTGGTTTTGTCACATAGGTAGTTCAGCTAAACAACTTTATAAGCTTGCTAATTTGTAGGGCCGTTCATAGATCGGATTGGTCTGGTTTTTTAGTAAACCAGGAAACAAACCAATCCCTACAGTTCTAAAAAAAATTAGAACCAAACTTGACCCATTGAGCCTATGTAATCCGACTAGAACTAAATTGTAGAAACCAATTTGATTCTATGCTTGTATAAATTTTATATAATATGAGTATGGTATATACTATATGTTTTGTAATAGTAAACAAATTAACAACAATCAATGTAGTTGATTTAGTCAAACCTTGTCAATTCCACAGTCAAGATTGGTATTCAAATCTTGTTAGCTATTGATACACACATGTTTTTACTTGTTACAAAATATTTAAAAATAATAATTGGATTGATTTACTGGTTCCATCCAATTTTTTCTAGACACCTATATTATTTTTAAAGCAAATGGAGTATGAAATCCTCGTTTGTTTTCCTTTTTCCGCTGAACATTTGTTGTTTGCTTCTGGTAGAATGCAGTAATCCAATTGCTCCTTCAATCAAGTGGACTAGAGCAGTTCGATAGCATTGCAGACAAGGCTCTGTCTGAGTTTTGGTTGAAACCAAGCTTATTTTGTAATGAAAATTCAAGAATATTTATATGTAGTGGCTGCCACACATATTCTTAACTCATTCAATTCATCTTTCTTCTCTGTCTAGCTTTGAAAATGGCGATCGTGCTGTTTTGGTATATGAAGACCAAAGCATCACAGAGACGATGCATGTTTTGTGGGAAAACCAAATAGGTGTAGTTGCAGCCGTACAACGGGAAACTAAAAGGCTTATCGGCTGTGTGAGGAATGGTGATCTTCATCTTCTACTAGACAATAATGATGTGTTTAACAACATAAAGTAAAGTTGTGTTTGGTAGAGTTTTCTAACTATGATTTGAGAGTATGAGTTTTATTTTGAGTTTATGAGTTTTGGAATTATAATTTGAGTGTAGAAAATTTGTTTGGTGAATGAGTTTTGAATTGAGTTAGGAATTTTTGATGTGACATATGATATCTGATACAAAAATTTACAACTCATAACTAAATATACAATTTAAATATCTATTAAAACCTCATAAAATTTTTTAAAAAAATCAAAAATATTTTTTTGTTAAAAATATAAAAAAAAAAAACACACAAGTGCAAAAAAAAAATTGGCATTGTAGAGGTCTATCGGCCGGACATCCAATAGCCCAAATTTCAAAATTTAAAAGCCTGTCTGGAACAAGTTTTCAAAACAAGAGGTGAAATTAACTTTCCAAAGCTCAAACCAAACATCATACTAGAGTATAAAGGTGGAACTATAATTTCAAAACACTTCCAAACACAGCCTCAATTTTTCTCTTTATCTTTTTATACGTATTTTCATAAAAAGTTAAAAAACCAACTACAATATCTACTTGAGTGGTGCTACATCCCTTAATATATCACCTCTATTTTGACATCTAATGAGGTGGAAGAGATAAGAAATAGAGACAGATGGAGAGAGGAAGGACGATAAGTGAGGAGTGAGATCCATTTCATATCATTAGGGGTGTATTAGAGGTACTCAATTAGAACTTCCAAGCATTTTTCTATCCACTTCCCAAAACAACCTTCAATAGTATTTACCCATAATAAATAAATAAAGCATTTGTTTTTTGGTATATAAAAAAGGACGTTCCGTGGGGGTGTCATATAAAAAAGGACCTTCAACAGTATTTACCCAAAATAAATAAGTCTCTTCCATTTTACTCTCCTTCATTCTTTGCTTTCTTAGGCCAAGTCATGAGATTGCAAATGGAATTGTACGAGTCATTGATGGTTATAACTTTTGCTTCTCCCTCTGGCAAACGAAGCAAACGGAGCTCTATTCTCTCCCTCCGAACCCACCCAACCAAACAGGCCTAATAGTATCTGACTTTTACCCAATTCTACAACATTACACAAAACAGGATTTATGAGATGATGCGTGGAAAGCTGCATAAGAATACACAAATGAAGAATTTGGGTTGGGTTTAGGTTATTTGGTTTAAGTGAAACCAAGAAAAGGTGTAGAGAAAATTGAAGAGGAAGCCATTGAAGCCATTTTGGTGTTTTGCCACCGTGGTCGCCATCGATGTCTGATCTCCTTTGTTCTCTGTCGGCGTCTATTTTGTTTTGTTTTGTTCTTATTTTGTTTT